TATGCAGAAACAACTGAGTTTAAAGTTAGAAGATTGGGGGGGGGGGGGGGGGACGTAGCATTTTTGAATAAAAAGTGAGAATTCTGATATTTAAATCAAAATTATTAGTTTAAAGCCAAAATTCCTGGTTTTAAGTAAAAATTTAAATTTAAAGTGAAACTTTAGATTATATTAAAATTTTTAGATAAGTCAAAATTCTGAGATTTAAAGTCAGAATTTCTGAGTTTAAAGTAAAATCAAAATTGAAAATTAAAGTCCAAATTCAGAGAAAAAAAAACATAATATTTGTCTTTTTCTAATTTTCCAGTGGCCCTAATCCTCTTCTGTACTCAGCAGCTTCAGATCAGCTCATTAATTTCCCCTCCAAACACCAACTGGCCTCATGAATCACTGAGCGGCTGCTGGAAGCTTTAATGAACTTTGCGGTGTGCTGCAGGAACCGTGTTGCACATTACGCTCCATCTGCCCTTCCTCTCATATCTGCGCTCTGATTCCCGGCCAGCAGAGAAACACAGACGAAGGGAGGGGAGGATGAGCCTCATACCTTCTTGCATCTGCCACTTTCTGCCCCAATTAACTCCCATTAATTGCATTTGTCAAGCTCCACCTTGAAGCAGACGCCCAAACGGCAGAAAGCAACAGCTGACCCTGGGAGACGAGGATGTGGGACATGAACGTCTGTGTCGCCGTCACGGCCAGAATGAGCGCGGCGTGGGAGACAATCAGAGGACGTTTATGATCGTTAACGTTTGAGCTGCAAACGTGCAACAAAAACAGTTATTTCCAACAAATCGATGGGAAATCAGCACTCAGACGTAATGGGATGAACTGAAGCAGTTTTACGGAGGTTGTAGATGGAGGGAAAAAAAATTTTTCTAAATTGAAAATTTGCTAGAAAAAAGCTTATAAATGTTAATATTTATGGAAAAAACTTGGAAATTTCTGAATTTCAAAATTACATCCATAAATGAAAGTGGCTCAAATCGTTTTTTTTTTTTTTTGGAAGGGTGAGTGAAAAGATCTGAATTGTATAATGGAGTATTAAGGCCACATTAAGAAAATAAAAATTAAATTACAAGAAAAAAAGTCAGAAAATTACGAGAATAAAGTCAAAATATGACAGTAAAGTCATTACTACAACTTCATTCTGATGCGATTTAAATCTCAGAATATTGACTTTTTAAAAAAATATTACTTTCTTATAATATGACTCTTCTTGTAATACTAGCACTTTATTTTGTAATATTAAGACTTTATTCCATTTCAACCTTTTTCTCCAAATATTCAGATTTTATTCTCAAAATATGACTTTATTCTCATCTTATTTCAACTTTATTCTTATCCTAGTTTATTTTCGTAATGCTTTATTGTAATTTTATGTTTTTTATTTTCTTATCCAACACTCCGTAGTAAAAATTAGACACTGCTTTCCTGAGAAGCTCTGACCTCTGCAGCCTTTGCAGCGAAGGATTTGAGGGAATCTGCATCCCTGGAAGTTAATCGACCTTCTCGTTTCTCCGTGTTTGGTTTGGTTCTCAGCGTCTCAGCGTGAGATTCAGCTCATTACTACAAATCTCCTGCAGAGTTCGAGTGCCAGAACGAATCTCAGAGTCAGGCAGCTCGTTTCGAACAGCCTGTCCTCCATTTTCTTGTTGACCTCAATCACATGAGGCGTCGCAAACGCAGATCACTCTGCCGATATAAATGTTGCCTTCAGCGTTCAGGCTGTCCGACCTGAAAACATCGGTCCTGTTGGCGCTGAAATGAGCCGACAACTCAGCAGAGAGAAGGTTTCATTACGAATGTCTTTATTTATGGCAGGATTGTGTGCAGAGAACTGCTTTCCCAGTGAAAAATGCATCTGACAGGAGACAAAAAGTCTGATTCTATTGAACTGCATGAATTAACAGACAGGGCCGGCACAAGCCTTTTTGGAGCTCGAAGCAGATTTTTATTTGCCCCCCCCAGATCAACCTTCTTAAGTTCAACTCTTTGTGTAACATGCCTCCTGTCATTAGAATAATCTGTAATTAGCTTACATCATAAAAGTGTTATTACAGCGGTTGATTATAACCTTAAAGGAGTAAAACTAAAAAATATAATTTTGAAATGCAGAATGCGAATTTATGTCGACGACTGGCTGCCTTGTCGTTTTTAAGAGCTTTTTTATTTAAATTTTTGCCTACATTACATAGGGGTCACGCATTTAATTACGATAATTACAAATGATTAAGACAAAAGACGCTGCTCATTGAATGAAACAGCATTTCCCATCGATGTATTTTAGCAGTATGAAATCTATGGAAGATGATTATGGCCACTAAAATAACAAAAAGGAATTCTAGCTTTAATCTTCTGAAATCAAAATGTAGAATTCTGACAAAAAGAATTGAGTTTTTTCCCCAAATTTTTAACTTTTTTCTGAGAATTCAGATTTTTTTCCTTAGAATTCTGACTTTTGTTTAGAAGAATTTTAACTTTTTTCTTTAGAATTCAGGTTTTTTCTCCCAGAATTCTGACTTTTGATTTTATACAATTAGAGTGTGAATAATTATGGACTATTCTGAAACTAAATCTGATCCTAATCCTCTTCCGTTAAAAACTGCTTTCATTTGATTAATATAACTATAATTCATAATAATGAATCCATTTACGCGTCTCTGTGGACCGTATAAAACTTTCTGCCGGGCCGGATTTGGCCCGCGGGCCTTGAGTTTGACACAGGTGGCATAATTTATCAGTTAATCCACTTGTAACTCAAGTTAGTGTTCAAGTATCACAGGTATTTCCTAGGAAAGCTATTTATTCTGGTTAAAATCTAAAAAATATTCTCTTAAATTGCGTCATTTTAGCCTTTTCTAAAGCATTAATACAACTTGTTTTTCTAAAAACAAAGCGTTTAGCTCCATGCTAACAGTCATCAGATGACAGGGTATCATCAGCCAGGAGACAGCCGGCGTGTGAAGACGGCCCGTGTCAACACACGGTTCTGCGACATGCGGTTCTCTTTTTGCGCCTCCTTCAACGCCTCTGGCCCGATTCTAAACTGCTGCCAACACCATCACGTTTCCTCTGATGCTCATTCCCTCCTGATTCAGTCTGCAGACTCTTTAATCTCCATCATACAGAATTTATTTCATTACTTATTGCATATTTGCTGAACATTTGCACTGTTTTCTGCAGATTTTTTATTATATTTATGCTGCGATTGCACATCTGTTTCAATAAACATTTTTAAAGAGTCATCACACTCAGTTGTAATATTTATATTAAATGCACAGTACCTTTATGTTATAATTAATTGTGTTTTTTTACACACACATATATATATATATTTTTTTTTAACACTTTTGGGAGTTTTTTTGTGCATCTGCTGTAAAGAGTTTCTATTCTATTGCATTTATTTTGGCTCCTTTTCTGATTTCCTTATTTTTATGCAAAAAGTGATTTAAATCGATTTCCCAAGAGTTTATTTCCATAAAGAGAATATTCTACATGAACTACAAATTCTCCAAATAAAGCACCATGTTAATCTTTTCTCCCCAATTCAAACGTTTTAGGTCTTAAAGTGCTTTATTGGACGCAACAACAAAACGTAGGCCATAATAAGAGCAAAATCCCACCTGGTTTATCATCATTTATGAACTAAAGTCTAAATACTGAGGTTTAGTTTTGCATTTAGAGGAATGGGCAAAGATTTCAATAATCGATTAATTGCGATCAATCAATTATTGAAATAATGGTCAACTAATTTAGTAATCACTTAACCATTAACTGGAGTATACAGATTAAAAAAATGGCCATTTACTGAAATGATCACTAAAAGGAATGATGCATTGTTGCATTTTAGGCAATAATTGTTTTTTTACTTAAGGGTTTAATTTGTTCATTTAGATCTTTTAATGCATTTCTAGTACTGCATTGAAAAGCTTAAATGAAAAATGTCAGAATGTGTCGATTTTTAAAATCAGATTAATCATCAGAATAACCGATTAATCAATAGCTAAAATAGTTGTTAGTCGCAGCTCTGATGTGCAAAGCTGTAATTGCAGCCGAAGCAAAGTTTAAGCTCAAGAGTGTTGAATACAAATTGAAGAATTTGAAGTGTGATGAATAAATCTGTGTTTGTAGCCAACAACCTATGCAGCAGTGCAGCCATTTTTAATAAACCGCAGCATGTTTCCAGGTTTAGCAACACGAATCCTCCCCTGGTAGCGTGTTAAGCACCCCGGCCCATCTGTCTCACCTCCTGTTCCAGGTACCAGCCTGGTTCTGGGCTGCATGATCTACCCCGACGGCTGGGACAGCGACGAGGTGAAGCGGATGTGTGGCGAGCAGACAGACAAATACACACTGGGCGCCTGCTCGGTGCGCTGGGCCTACATCCTGGCCATCATGGGCATCTTGGACGCGCTCATCCTCTCCTTCCTGGCGTTCGTCCTCGGCAACCGGCAGGATAATCTGATGTCTGAAGACCTGCTGGGAGAAAGTAAGAGGAGCGCCTCAGATTTTCTAATTTTGCTTGTAAAATACTAAAACATCTGAGATAACTGCACAAGTTTTGGTGTGTAACAGAGTGAGCTTTAAAAGCTAACAGAGCCTAAAAATGATCAACAAGCAGCGTTCAATAACTGAATAATAAATAGGAGGCAAGTGTAACAATTATAGGCCACGCAGCTAACTGCGGCTACAAAAGCAGCATCAGAAGATGGTTCTTTATGTAGGAGCCTGAGGTGTGAATGAAGACGAGCACCGTTTTAGTTTTGGTGTGAATGTATTAGTGATTTGAAGAATAAAAAACAACAAACAATTACAAATACACATTGAGAGACAACTTAACTCCAAATAAATCAATTCAAAGATCAAAGTCCTTGTCCTTCACAGAGGATCTTAAGATCGTATCCATCATGGGGAAGAAAAAAAAAAAACGACCTAAAAGGCCAAAAAAAAAAACTATTACGCATTTTAAACAATTAGGTGCAAACAAATGCAATTATTAAATATCTAATAATTAAACTAAACATTTGTCAGGTTAAATTAACCATAATTTAAAACAAAATAACAATCATATTTCAACTAATCAATTTAAGGTTAAAGTTTAAATCAAAGTTAACTTTCAAAATATCAATCAAGGAAAATAAAATAAATTAACTCAAATACTCAAGCAAAATGAGGAAAAGAAATATACTGCGCAATATCAAATTAAATGTAACTACATCCTATTTTCAAACAAGAAATCTTGCACAAACCCAACGGTTACCTTTGAGCAGAGAGTGCCAGACTACAATCAGCTGTGAATTCCAGTGACGGCCCAGGTAACAACCGCTGACAGTCTAATAAAACAATGCTCTAATGATCAATTGAGCAACATTTTTATGGTGCACAATACTGCTATCAACCCAGCAAACTCACCAATAGTTCAAATCAGTTGTTTCAAAGATTTGGGTGACTTTCCAGGATGAAATTATCAGCAAGACGCCAACAGTCAGCCACAATCACAGTGGAACAGGTGATGATGTTCAAACTGCGCTGGAGGCGGGGCTTTAAATAAGTTGAACAGTTTGGGGCAACACAGGAAGTAGGCCCGCAAAATAAAAGTCTGGCTAATTGACTAATGACGGGTTACACAAGTCAACATCAGCTCAATGTTAGGGGCTGCAGAAAATAATTGGAGTAAAATTCTGTTTTTGACTGAAGCATGAATACAAATATTTTCTTATTTAAAAAAACATTTTAATTATTTGGTTATTTACATCTTCTAATGTATGTAAATGGAAATGGTAAAATAATTGGTAGGTTACACAGATTTAATTTGAAAGTAAAATCTGTTTCCAAATCCTGCAAAACTCAATATTCTTCAATGAATTAAAATATAAATTAGTAAGTAACTCAACTAATTAGTTTTTTAAGAATCTTACCTAACACTGAGTGTGCCTTAAATTAAAATGAATAAATCATCAAAGCACCTAAGGGATCGTTTTAATTTTTCGGAAGCGGGATCCTGTTGAAATATTATTAAAAATAAATCAATTTTATCTTATTGGTGGACTAACGATGGGTAGATAAGCGGACACTTTTGAAAAAACTAAAGTTTTCTCTTGTATCAAGAGAGCTGACTGTCTTTCCGTAACACAAAGAGAAAAATTAAACACTCAAAAAAATCAAAGATAACAAGAAAAAATATGTGAAACAATTTATAATTAACAGAAAGATTTAGAGAAGTGCGAGCTGTGTTTTCTCTTAAAACTTCGCTCTATGAAGTGCATTAACTCATGACGGACCTCAAAATCAACCTGCTTATTGTCATAATGTCTTTTTCTGTCATTTTAATTTTTATTTCTGTGCTATAGTTACCTTCACAGCACATCAGTAATTTGTATTAAGGCTTGTCGAGTGCTTATATGTCAAAATAGAACCGCGAAAAGTGCTTTTTCCATCCCACAACGGATTCTGTTTCGACCATTACTCTGATACGTTCTGGCCTGGCCGCCATCTTTGTTTCTCCATCAACGGCTCCGTTTCAGAATGACCAGCGGCGCCCTCTGTTGGATGGCGGCCAAACTACAGCACGAAAAGAAGATCCAACGGCCGGTCTTAGTTAATTATCGGAACTAATTTTAATCTAAATAACTATTTATCGACTTTTGAAACGTTTTAATTTCAACTGGCTTAGCTTTTATTGAAGTACGTCACTGTTAATGATGCTCCTTACGTCATACCTGAGGTCTAAAGCACAACGCCTCTCCTTTCCATGCGAAAGTTTTTAATTTGCATACATTGCGTCGGATCGGTAAAACCACCTGGTCGGCTGCTTTTGTTTGCTTCTGTTCCCGGTGAAAATTGTATTTTCTTCTAATTGGACGAGATGACAAGCGGTCCAATAACCAAAGAGGATGATTGATGGAGAGCAGAATGAATGAACACAAAAGCATCTGGAGGAAGAAAGAGCGATAGGGAGACGGATGGGAGTCCGAAACGGAAGACACACAAACATCAGGGGTTAATTGAAGCCCGGGGATGCTGGACAGAGTCATGAATTACTAATGGATGTTTACACAGCTAGACTAAATGAATCACAGTCAGCCCATCAAGCAGTTGTCTGCTGGCTTGTATGAAGAAAGAAAAAGTCATTATAAACAAAAATACTTGAATGAGAAAAATAATGAGCCATTGGGGAGAAAACGGGGAGACACAGGTGGTTGTTCATGAAATAAAATAAGGATTTAATTGGTAGTAGTTGCTTCTTTGTGTGTGTAAAAATATAAACTGTCCAAATTTGAGACTATTTGTTTCCTGAAACATAATGCAACACTGCCACCTGCTGGTTATACACGCAATCTCACTTTTCATCTAATTAAAATAAAATGTTTTATTGTTTTTATCTCCACAGAAACTGGAAATAATGTCATATAACACCAGGAAACGGTGAAGAATTCACACGCATGGGTATGTATGCCACTTGTTACCGAAAATGTTTAATAATCAAAGTCTAATCTTTATTTTAATTCAATTTATCTCTGGAAAATAAAGTGGTTTCACATGAAAAAAATAGGAATAAATCTTTTTTGCTAATTAAATTATTAATAAACGAGACAATTCTGATGAAATGTTTGAATATTTCAGTATATCCCTTTCTTCCCTTCAATTTATATCTGGAAAATAAAGATATAACATCATACATATTTATATATACATACCTATAAAAAGAATAAATCTTGTTTTATTCAAACAATAAACAAATAAGATTTATTCAGTTGAAATATTCTTGATGTAATATTTTTAGTTTTACTTGGTTAAAATAATTTCTAAAACATCTGTTAAGCACATTTGCTATAAAATTATTAAAAAGTTAATCCAAAAATTGGTCAATTAATCTACAAATAATCAAATGTTTACTAAAGGAATATATGTTATTGCATCCTAAGCAATATTTTTTTTAACTTAAGAATGATTTAAATTATTTGTTTTCTTTCAACTTTTTAATGTAGTTAAATGAAAAATCTGCAGAATGTGGATGTACATGCAACCTTTACTAGAAGTAAAAATTATTTTCTGATACTATTTGGCATCTTCAGAGTAATAAACTTTGGAGGGAAATAAGCCAATAAACTACACATAAATAAGTCTTAAGTTACAAACTTCTGAAGTGAATTGTTTAGATAATATCTGTAGTTATTTTTCTTAATGTCTGCAGGTCTTACAGTTGGGATGTGGCATTACTGCAGCGTCCAGCGTCAATCTCCTGGCTCAGCGGCTGGATGCAGAGCTGAGAAGCTGCAAATTAAAGCAACAAAAGAAGAAGAAATGCCCTGAAAGCAGCCATAAAACCCAGTACTGGGATCAACACCCCATTTCTCTGTAAAATAGTTTTTATACTCACCTGAAACTGAGATTTTTTCCAGGATTAGAGTTTGTTGTCATCCTACCTGAGCCGTTTTTTCCACAAAAGGAAAAAAAGGTTGCTTTTTGGTTTATCTTAAAGCAGAAAAAAAAGACAAAACAACCACTGAAACCAAACAGACTCTGATGGACACAATAAAAACCCCAACAGCCTTGACGTTTCTTACCAAGTCAACAAACTTCATCCTGCTGAAGACGACTGCCGTCTGCAAAAACCTGGGAACTGAGCAAACCTAGAGGCTGGACAATCAGAAAAAAACAGTGTGGTCTTGTTTATGATTAAATATTTGATGTTATAAAATGGAAACTGTTGATATCAAAGCTTTCTTTGCTGATAGTCTGTGTAAAAAGGACAAATAAAATAAAAGCGCACCAATCAAAAGAACACATAAATTATATGTATTTAGTGAACAGCACTACATGTTGGTTATGTCCCTTTGTCTCGACTTTGAAACGTATTCTCTGAAATGTCTTGCCATTGGTTGATTATTAGTGTGTGCCATTGAGCATCTTGTTATCTGACAATATTGTAAAGAAAAAGAAAAAATATGAATAACCGAGTCTGGTTTTGTTTTGTAAGCTGAAATGTTTTCACTTTAACGCTTTAAAAACCACCACAACAAATTTCATACAAACGCTAATAGTTTAGATGGATAAATAAAAAGCCTCTGGAAGTCGGAAAACAGATGTTTTAGCTAGGCTAAGCTAGCTAGAAAAAGCACGTAGCGCCATTAGCTTAGTTAGCATCGGGATTTATAAGAAACAGCTAACCTGAGTAACAAAACTAAAACTACCAATATTTGAGGTGAAACATAATTAGCTGGTTTAAAACTTTACAACGAACATGAATTAGTTTTAAAAAGTGGTCTGTTCAATTCACGTTTTCGGGTTTGATATGTAGGCAGCAAGCGCTTTAATCCGTCCGGGGTTCGACTCCCGATCCCCGGACTTACCTCCTCCTTTTTGCCCATTTCCTGTCCGGTTACTGTGAATAAAAGCAGCTGATTTAACAAAATGAATAATTTGATCTAATTGGTTGGTTTTACCAACTAATATGTAAGAAATTGGACGTTTAATTACATTAACATTTTAACATTTAAAAAAACTTTACATTTGGTGTTAGAATTATAAGTTAGGAAAGTGTTAGCATTTATTCCTCTACTGTAAATTTACTTTTTTAACCAACTTGTTGAACTTGTTTTACAGTTAGCTTTGCTAAAGTTAGCATTAGGATTTCAGGAAACTTTTCCTGATATTTCCATATTAAACTAAATTATATACAATCTTTACTTACAAAAATTAAAAACTTTGAACTACACATTCATTTACTATCCTTGTAAATATTTACTTTAAGCTAGGCTAGTTTGGTGCTCTAAACAGTAGCTAAAGTTAGCATAATAACTCGATAAAAAGCAAGTCTTATAAAACTGTCTAATATTAAAGACAAATCACTGGTAAAGATGTTTAAGAAGATATAAAAGTAAAAAATAATCCTGAATTAGTTTCCAAAAAAGTAAAGATTTTACTTTAAGCTACAGTTAGTATTTTTTAGAATACCAAGCCTGACCAATATGAATAAAACTGAAAACATCTAAGGCCAGATAAATGTTTCTCATTAAAATTTAGCAACAAGCTGACAGAAACCCAGATTTAAATTTTTTTGGGGGAAATTTTTTTTAACTTTTATAGCCAACTGATTTGATTCAAGCGTGATCCGTTTGTAGTCAGAACTCAGAAAATCCGACTGGAACACACCAGCAAAGTCCGATAATTTTTCAAACGCCGACTTCCAGATCCAATATGGCCACCGTCCACATCAACAATGGTAACCTGTAGTAAAAACATTTATTTTGGTGATGGTCCACTTAGACATGTCAGCTCCAATTCTAACTGTAATTGTTTACATCGCTGATTGTTATTACCTCCTGAACAATTAAAAATGTTTGTGTGAATGTACCGGGTAAGTGAAAGCACAGATTCTGATACTAAAGATTGTGAAAATTTCTTAAATGACGATTCCAAAACCACTCGGAGCGGATGAAGCCATTTTCCCCATGCTATAAGTGTAGGACAATTTACTTAAAACAAGTAGAAAAGATATTTTTATGTTAATTTTGTCTTTTTCAAGCATACCAAGGTATTTTGTACTAGCAACTAGAAAATTTGGGGGGTTTAGTGAAGAAAACCCACTGAAAAACCTGGCAAATCCTGAGAAATTAATGTAAAAATCTGATTATATGAAGTAATTCTGATGTAAAACAGAAAGCAGGGTGTAAATACTTTCCCAGATAATTATTTCCCCCCAAAAGGTTCAGACAAACGTCGCCACAAGTGATATAAAACTGTCATTACAGTGATTTATTACAATGAACCATGAAAATAGCCAACCAGTGCAGTGTCTGTGAGTCTCTCTCCTCCACACAAACGCAACACTCACACACACAAATAAAAATAAAAAAAGAGACAAAGTCGAAGAGTCAATAAAAGGGGAGAGAAAAATAAAAAATAAAATAAAAATAATGCTACAGTCACAGAAACATTCAGCTTTGCCGAGAACAGCGTTCGTATTTACAACCATATCTTAAAATGGGAGTTTGTGGGTCGGGTCGTCGGGGTCGGATGGGAGCGAATTGTACAAGCATAGAAAAAGAAAAGCAGCAGAATATTTACAAAACCTGTTTCTGGTGAAAGCTGAAGTAACCACCTATACATTAAATTACACTTTCTACAAATAACCATTGATATTCAAAAATAAACCGCTGACGTCCGACTTGTGAGTCCAATCTGCCTGCAAAAATCACTCCTCTAAGCTGCCACACACACACACACACACACACACACACACTCATCCACACACCCACTCTGAGCCTCCAGCAGGGGGCGTTGCTCGCTGATCTTTCCTAAATCTGCAGCGGTGAACAGATATTTGTTAGAAGATTAAAAAAAATAATTGTTTTTTTTTTTTTTGCAGTTTTTTTTTTTACTCTATACAAAAAGCTTTTATAATGAGCCACTAGATTAAAACATAAACTGTGTACAGAGCTGCTGACGACAGACGCACTGCAAAAACTCAAAATATCAAAGTATTTTTATGAAGTTTATACTCAAGAAATCTCATGCTTGGAAAAAAAAAAGAGACTTAGAGTATAGAGTCCTAACTTTTTAGGACTCTATATAGCTTATTTTGAATAAATAATTCCTTAATATTGATAAAAACGTACTAGTTCCATATTTAAGTAGTACTTTCTTAAATCAATATTAAGGAATTATTGAAATATCTTGCTAAAAGTTACTTGCAATTTCGTTACAAGTTACTTTTTAGCAAAATATAAAAACTTGTAAGTAAATAAATCCTTAATATTTATGAAAAAGTTCTGGTTCCACTTAAATTTGCCAGTGGACATAATACTTTTGTATAAATATGAGGAAATTATTCACTTATCTTGTTGAAAAATCACTTAAAAAGTAACTTCAGAAAAATATAGGAGCTTGTTTTAAGCCGATAATTCTTAAATTTTGATAAGTGTAAATAACACTGGCAGATTTTTTATTTATGAAAATACATTTATTCTATGTTAGTAGAGAAATAATATGACATTTTACTCACTTTTTCAGCAGTTTTAAGGTACTATTGACTTAAAAAAAGGTGTTTAAGCTTTTTATCGTGTGGGTCAAGAAAAAAAAAAAGCAAATAAAGTAGCCAAGTTTTTAAAATAAATTTATTTTCATAGGAGAGTGGTGGTAAGTTTCAAATTTGTTACATATCACTTTTAGGTTCAAATTTATTCTCACTTAGAATAAAATTTGGATCACTTACTTTCAAAAAACTAACTTATTTTGGTGCAGAAAATTTTATTTTTTGAGTAAAAATCTCTGAATAAATGTAGTATTTAACATTTTCCATTGTTGGAAAATCATATCGGTAATTAATTTACCCTGATTAAAAATAAAAACAAAATTTACACCACTGGAGTTGGGGCCACAAAAAAATCAGTCTGAGGGCCACAAATGGCCCACGCGCCTCACTGTGAACAACCCTGGCTCCGAATGTCTTTATAAGATAAATCTTGAACATTGATAAAAAGTAGCAGATTTCTTCACTTAAAAAACATTTTTCCCAATTTTAAAAGTGGAATTAGTAATTTTTCATCAATATTAAGGAATTATTTACTTTAAAAAGCTGCTAATGGGGAAATTTTACATTTAGGTTCGTTTTCTGTTGTTTGAAGTGAATTAATGTAGAAACTGGACCTAAAACACTTTCAGACTTTGAGTTTTTACAGTGTAGAAGACGGATATCAGGAGGGAAGAGGCTGGAATGTCCGGAGAGGGAATTACAACGGGAACAGAACTGTTTCCTCTCCGTCTGAGAGGATGTTGTAAAAAAACCCAAAAATAAAAATCAGAAATGTGGGCCAGAGGGAGGGGGGCGATGAGCACCAGGGGGATCGTCCGCCATCTTTATTTTCTTATAGTTTCTTCCTCCTTCCCAGAGTTTGTCCTTTAATGTGACCTTTAACCCCACAATCAGCTGTTTTTCCACTGGCCGCGTGTTCAGGAACATAAAAACGTATCTACAGCTTATAGTACACGCCCCCCCCTGCTGAACAGTTCACAGGGGTCAGAGGTCAGTGCCAGCCAGTGCTCAGGTACCCCGAGCTGTGGAAGGAGTTTGAGGTCGCCGGAGCGCCGCGGGTGCCGGGGGGCATCTGTGCGGCGGCGGGCTGCTGTGGCGGCGGAGGGGGGGGCGGGGGCAGTCCGGTCTGCTGCAGCGGGGGCGGGTAGGAGGGGGAGGCGGTCGCCGTGGCGCCAGGATGCATCATGGCCGTCTGGAACTGGTAGTGGTGGGGGTTGGAGGCGGGGGGAGGCGGCGGTGGCGGCGGCG